ATACTGTTTATACATCGTTTATCATTGATTCATTGCTTTCAATATTTCTATTAGTTACAACTTACAACCAACAAAATGCTGTATAATTCGACTTAGTTCTAATAATGATTTAGGTTAATTATTATGCACCTAAAGCTCTATGGATTTGATATTAAATACTATAACTGATCGTTTTTCATTTGTAACCATTTTATTTTATTTGTTTTTACTTTTAGGTAAATTTTTAAAAATATATCATTTATTAACGCATTATTTTATATCATGGTTGAACAGTATCATTGTTACTCGAGACATTAATGAAATGAGGTATTTTGGAAAATTTGGTTACAAAACTAGATATTGTAAGGAACTGAAGCACTTTGGATTACTGTTCAGTCACGACTTGACGATTTTTCTCTTAATGATGTATTTTGTTTGTTCCTTTTTTTTGTCTGAGAAATCAGAGTTCGCTCGTTGATCAACGCATTCACATCTTTCTGTGTCATCCACATATTCACATCTATCTTTGTCATTCATGCAGTTGCATCTATCCATAACATCTATGTATTCACATCCATCTATAACATCCATGCATTTTCATCTATATATCTTTGGTGATAGTACAGTAGTGTTGTCGATCCACACATTCACATCCACCTGTGTCATTCATGCATTCGCATTCATCCATTCATTCATATTCATTCATAACATCTGTGTATTCCCGTCCATCTATAATATCTATGCACTCTTATCCATCTATTCCCATCCGTTTCTATCATCTGTGCTTTTCCTATCTCTACCATCTATGCTTTGTTATTCTCTGCCATCCATGCTTTTCATCCATGAAGATTGATAACAGAGTGTTATGGTTATCCACAAAGGTTATCCATGTGGTCTAATGATTCTAGACATTTGGTAATGTATCAAAATGATAAAATGGTTATTTCGCATGATGAAAGTGCATCTTCCTTTCTAACTACTGCTACTCTTATATATAAAAATTAATCAACAACATATGACAAAACAATAAAATTTCATTTATATTTTTTTACTATCAACTTAGTTATTCGTTGAAATTATAAATATATTTTTTTAAGTTTTTCTATGTTTTAGTGGATTTGAAAAGTTTAGAGGTTGTTACCTGTTTATATTTAGGTATAATCGTATAACAAAATATTTATATTTATATTTTTTTTTACTTTTAAAATTTTGTTCTTTTTTAATAAATATGATTTCCAAAATTACGAATTGACAATTAGGTATAACAAAACCCTTAATTTTTTTTTAACTTTTTAATTTGTACTTTAAAATTTGATAGTTCAAATACTTTTAATATTTTTATCATAAAAAATTAAAGATTTATTTTCACAATGTTTTGAATGCATAAGAGCATCCCCAATGATTAACATACTTTAAAAAGTATCTTAACAATTAATTTAAACACACAAAAAAATTCAATGAATTAAAGAATACCAAATATGAAAGTCTTTCATATTTTTTTTGTTAGGTATCTTCAACCAAAACCTTTTTTCTTTTTCTTTCCTATTTTTTCAGTTCTTTTTATTATTTTAATGGATAAATACTCTTTTAGAAGTAAACTATATAGATTTCTAGTTTCCACCTTTAAATTTCTTTTTAGACTTTGTTCTTGGTTATTAGTTTGATAACAAGCAAAACACAAAAGCCTTGTTCGTTTGCCTGCATTGAGCAGTCTGAAAATTTTTATACTGAGGAATCTGCAGTTGCCATGTTTCTTGAGGTGGTTGGTCAAGATAAAATTATGCGGGTTATAGCTGAAACATATCAACGGTCTTTGGATACAGTGAAAAAGAAACTTAATGATGTTTTGAGTGTTCTCCTTAAGTTTGCAGCGGATACACTAAAACCAGAAGAAAGTGAGTTTACAAGATCTATTTTGAGTGATGATGATCAGTATTGGCCATTAAAAGATTGTATTGGAGCACTTGATGGAACTCATATCCCAGTTTGCCCTCCTAGTCGAACTGCAGAAGCGTACAGAGGCAGAAAGCGGGAACCTACCATGACTGTTCTTGCTATATGCAACTTTGATATGAAGTTCATATATGCATATCTTGGTGTACCATGTAGAGCACATGACACAATGGTATTAACTCATTGTGCGAGGAATGAACCTTATTTTCCACATCCGCCTAATGGAAAGTATTATCTAGTTGACTCCAGATATCCCACGAGGACAGGGTATCTTGGTCCGCATCGTAAGGTACAATATCTTCTTGATCAATTTACTAAAAGAGGACCACTAACAAACTCTCGAAAGTTGTTTAACCGAAAGCATTCAGGTCTACGTTCAATGACTGAGAGAACTTTTGGAGTATAGAAAGCAAAATGGAGGATTTTGAATCGTAAGCATCCAAAGTATGGTTTGACTAAGTGGATTAAGCTTGTCACATCAACCATGGCACTACACAACTTCATATGTGATTCACATTGGGAGGATTCAGATTTTGTACTTTGGCAAAACACAGAAGAATATCATACTCATGGTGATGATGAAGAAGGAGAAGCTGCAGATGATGATAATGACAGTAATGATGATCATAGTGGACATATTGCATATGAACCGACTGGTAATAGAGCGATGGAAGCTTTGCGTGACACCATCACAAATGAATATGGTAGAAGATGTTGATTACCTTATTAGACATTTTAATTAATGGTTTAGTTTATTATTTGATTTGGAAAAAAAAAACAAATCAGTTTATTATGTTTGTTTATTTTACTTTATAACTATTATTTTTATTTTATCATATTTTATGATTAATACGAGGAATTACACAAAAAACTTAGTAGTTTATGAATTTTTTTAATTTAGTTTATATTATAATTAATTTAACTGCGATAGAAATTTATTATAGGGCAATTTCCATAATTACACTGAAAACAAGTTTTCAAGACAAATATAACAGGGAATCTAAAATTTTTCTACCCCTAAAATTTTTCATTTGAGTTTTCCGATTTTACCCTTTAGGAAAGTCTTCCTAAATGTTTTTTTTCTGTTAATGTTTCGCGATTTTTTAGGAAGGTCTACCAAAATACTAGAATTTAACATCGTTTCATATGATTTAGGAAAGTTTTTCTAATTTTTTTAAAATTTTCTAAATTATGGAAGAGCTTCCTGAATTGTGGAAAAAAAATTCTGAATAGTGGAAGGATTTCCTGAATTATGGAAGGATTTCCTGAAAATGCTTCTTGAATTTGAATTGTATAAATTAACACAAAAAACCAATTATACGATTTACAAAAGCATTCCTAAATACATGTAATGACTTCCTTAATTTATACATTTTAGAAAAGTCTTCCTAAAACTTTAGAATATCTTTCTAAAACTTTAGAATATCTTCCTAAATTTACTCTCATCTTCTTCCTCACTTCTGCGATAATTAAACCCTAATTTCTGCTGATTTCCTTTTTTTTCATCATTGTTGTTGTTTTAGCTCGGGTTTCTTGAGCTTTTCACTCAATTATATCAGATATATCTTTCACTATATGATTTTGAGCTTTAAATCTCAAAATCACTTTCCCATAAAAAAATCCCAAAGATCTAAGAAATTCACAATCACAAATCACAATCAAACTAGAAGAACGATCTTAAACCACACAAAAGATTCAAATTTCAGATCAGTCTTACCCATTAAAACCTTTGTTTGTGAAAAATTCAAAAAATGTTATGGAAATAATTTTTTGAAGTGATAATGTATATTATGAACAAAAACTTAAATTAAGTATATTTCAGAGAATTTCTCTTTATTATATTACAAATTTATAAAAATTTAAATTTAAATTGAAAACAAAAAAGTAATCACAGTAGCAGCTACCAAACAAACAAATATGTGGCAGATGCTGCGACTAGACGTGTGGCGATCAAACAAGCAAACTTGCGGTAGACACTGCAAACAACCAGATGTGCAGCAACCAAACAGACGATACTCATACGTCTAAACACAGCATCTGAATGCAGTGTCGTAGCTGCAGCCGTCGACATCAGGCAAAGGAACAGGGCCAAATACTAAAAAAAACTGAAACTCATAGATCTTATCACCCTGGCCACGATATGAAATTATCTTCACTTCGGTGGTGGTTTAGATTCATCATGATGAGTATTTACGCAATACAATGATTTGGTGAATACATGTCATGATAGAAGGAAAGCATAGAGGCAACTCAAGTGACTTAAAGAACCTGGCAGACATAGGTCTTCCCATGCTCAGATCAAACTCAAGTTACGATCAGTATTTCAAACAATACAATGATTTTGTGTGAGTAGTAGTACCAATGTTAGATCATAGTAGATTTGCTTCGTTCCTAGGCATGTGTGAATTTTTGTTTTTCATTTTTTATTATGAGATTTGGGTGGTTAAAAGCAACTTTATATGGACTCTACCGAGGTATTAATACAAGCCCAAATAAAGAAAAATATACAAGCCCAATCGAAAAAGTCAAGTTAAAACCCAGCTACTGTATGAACTTTGATAATTAGTAAAGACATGAAGTATCATCATCTACGATTTGTGATTGTTTTTGAGCTTCGCCGATATACAAAACATGAATCCAGAGAGAAAGGAGAAGCTAACGTGGACGAAGATCAACGACTAACGGAAAACGAGTGAAGAAGAATAAAAACGTATGAGGATGGAGGTTGAACGACCGTGGACAGAATGAACCGTTTGTTTGGTGGTAGCCAAACCGAACAGAACCGAACCGAGGACCGAGTTCAATTAAAAAATGTCGGTTCGGTTCGGTCGACTCTGACTTTAACTTGCGAGTCGGTTCCGTGGTTTTATCATCATTACAGCTCGCGTTGGTAATCATGTCGACATTGGTTTCCTGAAACGACACAGTTTTACTCTTTCTCTGACTGACTCATTACGTTTCCTCAGCGCAAATTGATCCTTCGATCTCAGCCTCAGCGGAACTTTCGCCGGAAAAGTGATTGAAATCGGGAAACATTAAGCTGTATAGTACTCTGTTACCGGTAAAAGATGAAGATTGATCTGAACAAGGTTGCTCGTAAGATCGAAGTGGATAATCGTATCCCTCTCCGTAATTACTACCGCATCGCCGATAATCTCCTCCGGCAGGTATATTCCGATATCGAAACCGATTGTTCAAATCTCCATCTCGTTCGCATGTTAATCATTAAGCGCTGGAAGTATAGTTTATCAATTAGATTTTGAAGTTTCGTTGAATCAGTGGATTGATTTCTAGTAACCTAATCGGATCTTTCCAGTTCCATAGGTTTCCAAGTCGAATGATCTCGTAGAGAGATATGTAAAGCAGTTGATTTATCTTTTGATGGTTCAGAGTTTTGATAAGATTTAAGCTTAACTAGTTTTTTTGTGTATTTTCTACAAAATTCGTAATAACATGATTGAACGTTTCTCAGGCCAGCATATATCGCGAAGAGAAGAATGTTGTTGATTTGTATATCATGCTTCTTAGATATTCGAGGTAAGGAGAAAAGCACAATCACTTATCTGTTACTTTTGAGATTTTCTTATATTCTCTTTGCAAAACCTACAAGCTTGTTCTTTTTTCTCGCAGTTTGATTTCTGAAACGATTCCTTTCCATCGAGATTACCAGTCTTCGATTCCACAAGAAAGGCTTGGGAGTAGGAAGGTCAGGTATTTCTAATTTTTATCCTTCAAGTGTTGTTACGTGTCACCAGAAAAATTGTAATGTTCTCAAACGTGGTCTTCTTTTGTACAACAGAGGTTGCGCGCTGTAATCAATGAGCTCGAGTCTCTGAAACCGGAGTTCGACCGGCTAGTGGATGAGCTGAACCGAGCCGACGATGACTCCCATAGCGATTTCCCGATTGTATCATATAGTTCAGATGCTGTTGAGTGGCCTCCTGTCCGTAAAGCTTCTTACTCCAGCCCTGATGTTAAGAAGGTCCAAAGACTTTGAAATTTTGCATTTTAGTACATAATATGAGCGTTATTTTGTGTGTTTCTTACAAGGATTGTGTTTTCTTTCTTTTTACTTCCATGGATGCAGCAAGCCTTACCGACAACATCTCAACCATCCTGGACATATAACAATACTCTGACTTCATCTTCAAATCGTACACAGATTGATCAACAGTTCCAGAAGCTGTGAGTATTCTCCTTTCGTATAGTTGTCTGTTACAATCATTTTGATGATGTTTTGGGTCACTATTACCTGAAAAATGTGATGATGCTTGGCTTTTCTGTTTGCGGTATCATGTTTGAAGATACTTGTTGTTTGCGTTTTGTTGAATTTATCTATAGGAATTTGAAATATCGGAGTAAGCAAATGGTTTAATTGTGCTCCTGAACCTGCAGATCTTTTGATTTTCTACCTCCAAACCAAGCGACCTTGTCTAGACATTCATTTCTAGGTCCAAATGGTCTTAAAAGCCAATGGGTTGCACCCAAGTCTGAGATAAAGGTAAAAATTTGCTGATCGTTGTTATTTTTCCCACATTATCTCACTCTTTCGTTTTCCTCTTTGTCCAATCCAATGTTAACTTTAGATCTGAAGGAGCTGAGAGAAATTTTTTGTTTTCTTATGTAATGACAGGTTCAGTATCCGAGTAATACCGGTTTGGGTTCTGCTGAAATCTCAGGGTGAGTACTTATCTTCTGTTTCCTTTTAAAGCATTTCTTTATAGAAGTCATGGCTATTTCCAACATACTCCATGGATTTCTACAGTTTGATTGACGCTGGACCTAGCGGCTCCTCAGCATCAGTTAACAATGATTCTCAAGGGGTCTCAACGCTGAACTCTGTGCTCTCCTTAGATGATGGTCGATGGCAGCGTCATTCCGAGGCGGTAAATTCGCAGTTTATCAGCGACGCAACCGAAGACCCCTTTAATTATGCCGGTATGAAGCAGCCTTCCCCTCCTCCTGTGCTTGCTCAAGTGCATCAAGAGGTAGCCCAAATCTGCCCATCTAAAGTAGCTGATCCTAGACCAGGACCTGCAATGCCTTCCCTAGAAGCAAAAGAAGGCACAAACTCTTATCAGCATCTGCATGTTGTAAGTTCCAGATATTTCTTCTTCTTGTATCTTTGTTCGATTTCCATCAATTCCACTAGTGATATGCTAATGTCGTTTTCCTTCCTTTTTTAAAAATTTGGCGAAGCCTGTGCGCATAATGGACGATTTCTTAAGGCTAGCTCGGTCAAACACAGAAAGAAACCTAGAAACTTGTGGAGTGCTTGCTGGTACTCTGGTGAGTCGATGGAACTAACACATTTGCATTCGTATTATATCTTGTTCTCGCATCTCATGACCAGCTTAAGATGATCTTCTCGTCACGTTATAATACAAGTTTCTTTTCACTTTGTTGTAGAAAAACAGGGTTTTTCATATCACTACTCTCATAATCCCAAAGCAGGAGTCAACCTCAGATTCTGTATGTTCTTCATTTTTTTCCCTAACGAATTTCTTTTATCCTCCCGTGTGATTCTTCTTCTCACACTTAGTCCTTCCTCGTTTGTTAATAACATATAGTGCCAAACACTAAACGAAGAAGAAATATTCGAAGTTCAGGACAGACTCTCTCTATTCCCCTTGGGTTGGATTCATGTAAGTTCTCTCAGCCTCATTCACCAGCAAATCCATAATTCAAAAACTGCTATATATATAAACTTATGGATTCTTGGGGATAATTACATTTTTTTTTGGTTTCAGACACACCCTACACAGACTTGTTTCATGTCATCAGTTGATCTTCACACACACTACTCCTATCAGGTACAACAAAACTTCCCCTTTTCAACATCTAGATCATGTAATCACTCATGGTACTGACCATTATGGTCCAATATCTATCCTCAACCAGATAATGCTACCGGAGGCAGTAGCGATCGTGATGGCTCCAACAGACGAATCGACGCCTCACGGAATATTCCATCTCTCGGATCCATCGGGAGTATCCGTGATCCGAAACTGCCAGCAACGAGGCTTCCACCCGCATGAAGAATCAGAAGACGGTAACCCAATCTACGAGCATTGCTCACACGTCTTCCTCAACGCCAAGCTCAAATACGAAGTCCTCGACCTTCGTTAGAAGAACACCATTACACATGCTTTCTTGAAGAGTTTTTTTTGAACTTTTGAAAATGACAGTACAAATACCTCAGAGATCAGATCATCTCTCAGCCGTACATATGAATGTGTATACTTCTTTTATAAAACTACTTTCAAAACTTGGCTGAGGAGTCCTACTTGAGTGAGTGATTTGCTTGTGTTACTGTAAAAAACGAATATACTTTTTAAATTCGTATTATATACCATTCAAAGCCAAGTTGGCTATAAATGTATTTTTATGATGATTAATATTCTTTCATAGATTCTAAACTATATGTAGCTGTATAGAGTAAATAAATACAGCTCAGGGAGTCAACTTGGTCTCTGTAAGGAGACTCTAACGAATCTAAATAGAATTTTCAAGATTACCATATGTATTTGTAAACCAACGAAATTCAATCTCTCTCTCTCTACTTTTTTTCTCCTCTTTTCTCGTTCCCACTCCAGCTCGTCTAGGGTTTTTATCTCTATATATCCGCCGATTCTATACACACATACACTTTTTTTAATATATATAACACCACAGTCTCCTCTCGTCGGCTCGTTTTAGTGGCTTTTTCTCATTCACCGGCACTAAGCGAAGAGATTTGATAGCAGCCATGTCTTTGAGGCCCAACGCTAGGACTGAGGTTCGCCGGAACCGCTACAAAGTGGCGGTGGACGCCGAGGAAGGAAGACGGAGGAGAGAGGACAACATGGTCGAGATCCGTAAGAGTAAGCGTGAGGAGAGCTTGCAGAAGAAGCGTCGCGAGGGTCTTCAAGCCACTCAGCAGCCTCAATTCGCTCCTTCTCCCGGTACTGGTGCTTTATCCGTCGAGAAGAAGGTAGAATTACTATGGATCTGGAACCGATTTCGAGTTTTTTTTTTTTTGCTGGATTCTCCGATTAGAACTGATTTAGATCGTTTTCGATTTTGATTTTAGTTGGAGAGTTTGCCTTCTATGGTTGGTGGAGTCTGGTCAGAGGACAGAGCCTTGCAGCTTGAAGCTACTACTCAGTTCCGGAAACTTCTCTCTATAGGTAATTCTGCTATATCTGTTAGAGTTGTTTCTTTTCTTCTTATGCTTGCTTTCGATTCGGCAATTTCTTGAAATATGAATCCATGGTTTTTGAATTTTGGCAGAGCGTAGTCCTCCTATCGAGGAGGTGATAGAAGCTGGTGTTGTACCAAGGTTTGTTGAGTTTCTCATGAGGGAGGACTATCCACAGCTCCAGGTTTGTTGATTCCATTTTGTATCTGTCACAATCACTCAGAATTATCGGCTTATACTTTGTACTTTGTATGTGTGTGTGTGGCATCAGTTTGAGGCTGCTTGGGCATTGACGAACATTGCTTCTGGAACTTCAGAGAATACAAAGGTGGTCATTGAACATAATGCTGTTCCGATTTTTGTGAGACTGTTGGCTTCTCAGAGTGATGATGTCCGTGAGCAGGTAAAATTATGTGTTCGTGGTTTTTGCATATTACAGATTCCTTGGCCAACTCTTTTTTCTTATATCTTTGGAAACAAGTATGTTCTAAGTGTATTTCTTCTGAATTTGTTCATGTGTAAGGCTGTTTGGGCATTAGGGAATGTTGCTGGTGATTCCCCACGGTGCAGAGATCTTGTCCTAGGCCAGGGAGCTTTGATACCATTGCTCTCTCAGTTGAATGAGCATGCTAAACTCTCGATGCTTAGAAATGCTACTTGGACCCTCTCAAATTTCTGCAGGGGCAAGCCACAGCCTCCTTTTGACCAGGTTTGTCTCTTAATTCCGTCTTATTTTCCTGCTTGACTTCTTTTTTATTGATCAATGAAGATTTTTTAACATCTGTGATCTCTTAACAACAGGTTCGTCCGGCGCTTCCAGCCCTTGAACGCCTGATTCATTCGACTGATGAGGAAGTGTTAACAGATGCCTGTTGGGCACTCTCTTATCTTTCTGATGGCACAAATGACAAAATCCAATCTGTCATTGAGGCAGGTGTTGTTCCTCGACTTGTCGAGCTTCTCCAGTGAGTTTTTTTAATCCTTTTCTTTAACGTTGCTTTTGTTCATGAATGTTTATGTCATTATGTGTTGATGAATATATATTTTTTGCATACTGTAGGCATCCATCACCATCTGTGCTCATTCCTGCGCTTCGTAGTATTGGTAACATCGTCACTGGAGATGATGGACAAACACAGGTATGTTTATTTTTCTATAGTTTCGTTATTTCTGTTGAAAGTACATTGTCCACTGTTCCTTAAACGTAAATGGTAAAAATGAGACACATTCGGTTGCCTAAAGTTGCTGCGTAGCATAATGTTAGGTGTACCTCTGGAATGGGATCGATCATTTCTAGTTAAGTTTTGTTTATCCTAGTATCATGCATGTTTATTTACATAGCTGCCCTTGTACAAAGCTTCTCTTAGATGCTGCACGTGATGATGTGTTGACTATACTGCTTAGTTATTGACTAATTTAAGGCAATCCTCCAAGAACAATGTGTTCATCATTTTAGTTGTATAATGCCCTCGTGACTCAATATTTCACCATTTGTTACATAGTGCACTTTGTTTGTTGGTTGGCTCTGAGCTGATGAGAATTTCTCCTGCAGTGTGTCATTAGTCATGGTGCACTCCTTAGCCTTTTGAACCTTCTGACTCACAATCATAAGAAGAGCATTAAAAAGGAAGCTTGCTGGACAATCTCAAACATCACTGCTGGAAACAGGGACCAGATTCAGGTGAACTTTTGCCAAAAATTGATATTCTTCAGCTTTAACAGTTTCAGAAGGCTTTCGTTCTTTAAAGAAAGATATCCTGTGTATTGATGTTCACTAATATTGTTCCGTAATACAGGCTGTCTGTGAAGCTGGTTTGATTTGCCCTCTCGTCAATCTGCTTCAAAATGCAGAGTTTGATATAAAGAAAGAAGCTGCATGGGCAATATCAAATGCCACTTCGGGGGGTTCTCCAGACCAGATCAAGTAAAGATTATTTAAACTCAGCTCCCATCTTGTGTTAATCTTTGTTGACTCTCTTTCGAACGATAACTCACAGTTGTTTCCATTGTTTGGTGTACTATAGGTACATGGTGGAACAGGGAGTGGTGAAACCACTGTGTGATCTTTTGGTATGCCCTGATCCAAGGATCATCACCGTGTGTCTAGAAGGATTGGAGAACATTCTGAAAGTCGGTGAAGCTGAAAAGTTGAACGGAAACACCGGGGATGTAAACTTTTACGCACAGTTGATCGACGATGCTGAAGGTTTAGAAAAGATTGAGAATCTGCAGAGTCATGACAACAGCGAGATCTATGAGAAGGCAGTGAAGATTCTGGAAACGTACTGGTTGGAAGAGGAAGATGAGGCTTTACCACCTGGTGATGACGCTGCTCAGGGCTTTCAGTTTGGAGGCAGTGACGCAGCCGCCGCACCTCCAGGTGGATTCAACTTTAAGTGAAGGTAATACAAAATCTATATTAAGTGACTTAAACTAATTACCATGTGAAGCCATAGACTAGGAAGTAGAGTAGTCTTTTGTGTAATTTCTTTGAGTCTGGTTTTGTTTCAACAGGAGCTACGCATCATGAGTCAAGAGTCGAAGGAGGTCAATGGTTAAATGGGTCTGATTAGAGTCTGGTTTTCCTGTGTAAAAGTCAGATGTGGTGCCTTGGTCTTGCTTGGTCTGCTCTGGTCTGGTCTGGTCTTGTCTAGTCAGATTCAGTGGTTGGGTGGGTTTGAGTCAATGAAATAAGCTTTTGTTGGGGAGTTGGGTAGGAGTCATCCGAGGGGTTATTTTATAAACTAAAATGGGAAATTTGGGGGAAGGGTTTATAGTTTTGAAGTGTGATGAGGAGTTTGTGGGTTTTGTTACATTTTGTACTACACAACACTGCAAAGTCAAAAAACATAAAAAAAGTTGGTCAAACTTTATTTGGTCTTATTGGTGACAAAAAAGCCCAATTGGTGCGTCTCTTTATTGTTAATATTTTTTTAATATTATTTTATAGTGCGGTCCAAGTCATTTTGGGCTATTGTTGTCTCCATATGCACGCTTATCTATATATTTTTATGTTCTTTTTCCTTTCAATAGTTCTCCATATTTCGATGTTATTAATGCTTATCGTCAACTTCAAGCAGGGTTTAATATTATAAAATCTAATGTTTTGTTCAAACTGAAATCTGGAAAGTCTGTCGTTATTGGCATAGTCTTGTCTTGTGCATAAGCATACAATTTAAATATATGAAAATGATGTTTTAATCTAATACACAAAAATGGGGGTCTTATTTAAAAAGAAAAACTTGACCAAAAAAAAAGTTAAAAAGAAGAACATCAATTATAATAATTTTTCCTCCATTTAATTCACAGCTGTTAATTTATTGTGAAGAATTTTACAGAATACAGTATGTAAAAGACAGTTGATAGAAATGCATGCATATCTAAGCCCAATTTGGCAAATCTAGTTAGCGGGGCATACAAACCGAACAAGAACAACTGTAAATTTGTAATAAATTGTGTGCGCCAGGTTTGAAAATATTCAAATTTCGTACCAAGATACCAAAAAAACCCCTTCCACCTCAATACGTTTTGTTACCCATCAAGTTACAAGTTGTAAATTTAATTTTCCCTCTTCTTTTCCAGTTTTTTCTTGGTTGTTTTTTTTTGGCGGGTGGTTCAAGAGTAATAAAATCACCCGCTCGAGGGTAATTCAGTAATTATAAAATCGAAATCTAGGGTTTTTCGTCCCCGCCTCCTCCTTCATTATAAAATCCCTCTCCGTTTGTTTTATCCGTTACTCCTCTGCGGCGTCTCTCTCTCTCTCTCCCCCTTATCATCATCTCATCCTCTCTCTCTTCGCTTCACAGTCTTCTAGCAGAGTAATCTGATTTTCCTCTGCCATTTCTACTGCTCTGCTTCTGTGATTCTTCAGCTAAGCTAGAGGGATTTCCATTCTACTCAGTCTAATCGCCTTGAAGTGAATCAATGTGAGTTTTCCGATCGCTTGATCCTTCTTCTGCTTTTCTCACTTGTATCTCTCGATCGCATGTTTTAAACTGAACTTATCTGTTTTTTTTGGGTTTGTAGATGTCAATGACGGAAGAAACGAAGACGACGAAGCTCGAATCGGCGGGAGATTCGTCCGATGTAGACAACGGGAACTGTAGCAGTAGCGGAAGTGGTGGTGATACGAAGAAGACATGCGTTGATTGCGGAACAAGCAGGACCCCACTTTGGCGTGGTGGGCCAGCTGGACCTAAAGTAAGATCATGCTCTTTTGTTTTGAAACCCTAGAAATCCATGATTTGAGGTTCTCTGCTTCAGATCTAGTCAAAATGGTTCTTAAATACCCTCGAATGTTGGTTGATCGTGTGTTCTTAGCTCTGTTGCAAGCGATTTTCAGATAAATCTGTCACATTAGTGCGATCATGTGTATCTTAGGTAGGTGTGGATTGTTGTTGTGTCTAGTTCTTGTGAATACTGTAATCGAAAAGAACATAGCTTGTTGATTTTTTTTGTTTTTCTTTGATTCTGTAAACACTTAGCTCTGGGTCATGATCTTGATTCCCTTGTATATACGAGATGCTTGAATGTTATGGGTCCTTGTCTCTTTGTGGTGATTAGCTTATAAAGTCTTACATCTGCTTGATGATTTCACTTTTGTTCTCTGGGTCTCATCAAGGTTTGTTCTTTTTTTTCTGCAGTCATTGTGCAATGCGTGTGGGATCAAGAGCAGGAAGAAGAGGCAAGCAGCTCTTGGGGTTAGACAAGAGGACAATAGGATCAGGAACAAGAGTAGTAACAGTCTCTGTCTTGAAAACCGAAATGCCACCAAGATCGTAAGAGGGATTTCAGAAAATGTCAAGATTGTAAAAGGGGATTCAGAAAATGTCAAGATTGTAAGAGGCGATTCAGAAAAGGTCAAAATCGTAAGAGGCGATTCAGAAAAGCTCAAGAACAGGATCAAGACAACAGAGAATTACAGTAGCGGTCACAAGAAGAATGTGAAAAGAGTTACTAGATTTTTGGATTTAGGGTTTAAAGTTCCGGCGATGAAGAGATCGGCGGTGGAGAAGAAGAGGCTATGGAGGAAATTAGGGGAAGAGGAACGAGCAGCTTTTCTTCTCATGACCCTTTCTTGTGGTTGAGTTTTGTTTTCTCACTCTGACTCTCTTTTTTTTTGTCTGAATGGTTTGAGAGATTAGGGAAAATAAGTTATTAAGGAAATGATGGAGAGAGATTTATATATATATGTAACTCAGTCGGAAATTGTTTTTTAGGACACTAAGCTAATGTTATAAGCTGTTTACTAATTAATTAATTATTCGTTTTCGTTCTAATATAGAGTTAATGATTTCGTAATAGAATTTCTAGTTCTACAGTAGTAGTAGTTCGTTAGCTGTTGATTTTTATTTCTTTACAAAAGTAGCTTAAAGTATTATTCCCAACTAGTAATACTCTTTGGTTCCATATGTTTTTACTATAAATATCACATTTAAGGTTATTTTAGCCACTAATAATTTGTGTGAATTACTGTATAAAGTCTGATGACGGACCCAATAACTATTTATCATTACGAAAATATTTAATCATGTCTTTTTTCGTCTGTGAAAAATATGTTTAATAATTACGATTTAAAAGGATCAATGTGAATTTGAAAATTTGTGGACTTTTTTCAAATTACTTTAAAATTTAGTACCACTCCAGCTGTTCGCTCTTATCTCTCGTACACTCAATGTGACCCCACCATCTCCACGCGCCTTTGAAGCGCGTGATATATTATATATGGGCCAGCTATAAAACAGCTCACGACTTTTGGGCTTTTGTTGGTGAAAATAAAAAGAGTCGGTGATTGAGACAACCCAATCCTCGCGCCTCTCTCTTATCATTTTCATGCGATTCTTTTTCCTGATTTTCATGTCCCACTTTTTTAATTCACAATACAATAAAAAGGTTTATTAAAATTTTCCTGCCTCCTTCGAAAGAAATTTTTTCTCTTCAAAAGCCCTCTTGTTTATATGTAATTGAACGAATAACATGATCTATTGATTCTATTTCTACGTCCAAATGGCGAGGAGGATATCTACTTCTTCGATTAAGTAGTCATTTTTATAACGTCATGATGAGGCTGCAATCGATGAAGGACTCGAGCAATAGCCATTGGTCATACAATTAATTAACTCTAACTCAGACCTGGTTTGACTCCAACTCCAACATAGCGAGGGTTTGGACTTTGGAGACAAATACATAGTGTTCATAGTTTTGGTTGTTTCATTATCGCTAGTATCAACTATAATACGTTATGTTGACCGTTTATCTTTGCGATAGCCATGAAAGTGGACAAAAGATCAACTATAATACTATAATACTATGTTACATAGTGTAATACATAGTGTTACACTATGTAATACATACTATAACAAAAGATCAACTATGTTACTATGACATACTATACTATGTTACTATACTATAACATACATATAGTGTAATATATAGTGTAATACATACTATGTTACTATGACAAAAGATCAACTATCAACTATAATACTATAATACATAGTGTTCATTATCGCTAGTATCAACTATGTTCGTTATTTTGGTTGCAAATTTAACAACACATTTTTTATGGTTAGCTAGCTAGCTACAAAAAGTCGAAAACGCAAAACAAAAACAAAATATCAACACAACAATAACATTAAAGTCTCTCCATGGCTTGACACCTCAGATTTTTTAAGTTTTATAAACATGACACCTCAGCAAAAATATTTATCAATCAAAACATTTTATTAATACATCTCATCTACTTATTTTAATTTTTAAACTTAAACTCATTAAAAACCTAAATATTTTTTCTATTAATTTTTGTTTTATTTTTTACCAAACTCAAGCCCAAATAATTAATAACAGCAAATAAAAAATTATTATTTTATTTTTTACCAAATCCAAACCCAAATAAAAAATAAAAACAAATAAAAAATTAAACCGTTGTTTCCTTTTTTTGCCAAAATGCAAATAATAAATAACAACAAATAAATAATAAAAAAATTCTAGCTATCTATTTGTTTGACATAGACGTATATGATTGAAAAAGTGTAGGCTCAGCATCAACTATGTTTCCATGACAACAACACAAAAAGCCTTATGTTATAAGAAGCTCACACATCAGCAAAATTTTGAACCGATAAAAACATAACAATTTCTTAGTTTTCACGGGAAAATACAATTTCACGGGAAATAATGCAATTTTTGGTTTTCGCGGAAAATTGTAGTTTATTTGTTTTTGTAGGAAAACATGATTTTGTGCTTGACGAGAAAATGATTTTTTTTTTTTTGGCAAGAATAGACGATTTCTCAGTTTTCGCAGGAAAAATAAATTTTTCAATTTTGGCAGCAAATACAATTTTTTTTTTTTGATTGGAGGAAGATAGAAATTTTTTGGTTTTTGTGAAAAAACGTAATTTCTCGGCTTTGGTGGAAAAACACAGGTTCCCGCGGGAAAATATAAGTTTAGGTTTTAGGTTAGACGAGAAAATGAATTTTTTGGTTTTGGCGGGAATAGCCGATTTCTCAGTTTAATGGAAAAATAAAGTTCTTTTGATTTGACGAAAAATGCGATTTTTCGATTTTTGTAAGAAAAAAAATTTCTCAGTGCTAAATTTCTAAGTTAAAATATGTTTACAGTAACCAAAATTTAATTATTTAACTTTAACTAAAACGATATTTTAAGAGTTCAAACATAATTTTCTATTTAGTTCTAAAGCAATTGCAATGGTTTTGATATGAATATTATTGATTATAGTTTGATAGTTTTTAAAAACATATGTTTATAATAAAATATTTGATAAATAAATAAATTTATAATTCAAGATAATCATATTAACTAATAAATCTTTTTTTAAAATGGTATTTTACTTTATATAATTACAAAGAAGGACCATGTGGTAATTTATTGGAGAAAATAGATTACATTTGCCATTAGCATGAATGTACTAAAAATGTATTGCTTTATTCTAATATATTTTATTTCTATATATATTTTTATAATTAGTTAGCTAACTAAATTTAATAGCAAATTATAATTTAAAATATATATATATATATATATAATACTTATTTATTTCAAAACATATAAATATATAACTTAAGCTAATAAAAAAATAAATATAATACTCATTTATATTATAAAAATAATTTTATTATATTAAAAATATATACAAAATTTAGAAAAATATCTCGCAGCATAGCGCAGGTAAATACCTAGTCTCTTCAAAAGCCCTCTTGTTTATATGTTAAAACCAAATTTCGTTTTTATTCTTTTAAAAACAAACATAAGTTTGATGATATCTTAAAAATAAAAATGAGGATGAAAAAACCTAAACTAAAAACATCAACTTACATCGGATGCTCGTTGAGCGTGTAGGCCCAAAATCATTTATAGCGGATTTTGGGCTTTTCTGAATAACAAAGAGAAAAGTAGGACCCAAAAGAGACGAGTGGGTGATTCAGTAGTCACTACTCATTACTGTACCTGTGTGTGTGTTTTCTTTCTCTAGTCTCTACATCATCTCTTTAGTAACAACTATTCGTTTCATAACTTTTCTTCGAACTTATGTAAAATTGTAAATTATTATCTTCTTCTTTTGTCTTCATAGTCATGAAGTAATAATAATAAGATAGATCTTATATAGTAATTACAAGAAAACGATGCTTATATTTTGTGATTTTAATTTTTAACCATATGTATAAACACATCAAATAGTTTTTGTTGACATTGGAACGGAAAAGTAAATTAAACCCAAAAAATAAAGGCCAACAAAGCCAGTTATTGATGATATATCTTCATTTTCATTTAAAGTAAAAAACTACGTTCATAAAAACACAAGAAGATAGAAGTACAAATACAAATACATTTCTACTTGTACAAGCGAAACGGAGAAACAATATTCACCATTTCAATCTGTAGCGTAAAGATCTCTCATGCACCATCTTCTTCCCTGCAAAAAATCTCTAGCCAGGTCTGCAAAGATCTGAGGACTTCTTGTTGTTACAATTAAACTCTAATATCTTTTTCAATCTGTATTATCATCATGTTAACTAAAAGCGACAGAGATAAAGAGAGAAGATTAAGACAAAAGAAATTCCGTAAGAGAATCTGATTTTCACATCGGATCCGGACGAAAGAATAGACTGCGGCGGAGGGTTGTAGTAATAAAACGGAAAATAGGGAACGATGGGGTTCGGCGGCGGCGTCAAAGGATAGTTTCCTCCACTTTTCGGCGGAGGATAGTAGTAGCCACTGCCAGAAGAAGACGGTGGTGGACGGTAAGAGCCAGATTGCGGAGGAGGTGGATAGTAGTAGTATGGACCACCGCCACTGCCTCCGGAGCTAGGAGGCGGAGGACAGACAGTGATGGTGGGGGCTGGAGGCGGCGGAGATGGAGTCGGCGGAGGAGGAGAGGGGTTTGGCTGACAAGGGTTGTCACAAGAAGTGCACATCGTACAGTCTGCGATCTGAGATTTTGCTGACGTCAGCGTAGTGTGTGTGAAGAAGAGGAAAAGAAGAAGATGGAATGTTCGGAACGCTTCCATTGTCGGGATGAATCTGGAGTTCGTGTCTGGTGAGAGAATCTGAAAGTGAATTTGAGGAAGAAGGAAGAAGAAAGAGGACAAATTAAGAAGAGAAAAGACACAAGTGTTAGAGTGAAGCAGAGGAACGTGTAGAGTGTCTCCAATACTTTCTTTTATTTCTCACCATTTCTTTCGTTAAACTTTATAAATATAAATACTGTTACGTCTAAAAGGAATCTTACGTCACATTTGACATATATACATACTGTAGTTTATGTCAAACGTGTCTCTTTTTTTTTAACTTGAGAAGTCAAGTGGGTAATCTGAAATAAGCTTAAAATTGTTGACCAATAACGTAGATCTAAATTTTGTTGAGATAAATAATTGTTAAGAACAATATTTTTACCAATACCACTTAACCAAAATTTGAAAAATCTGCATGAATAGAACAATATTTATCTATATCATCTGTGATTTTGATGCAAGCCATAGTTCGATACAGGAATATGTAGCTCCACGTGATTTACCAAATCTTTCTACATTAACAATTATTGCTCTCGCTCTCACGATATGACAACCTTTCAAGTTTGAAGAGATTCTGTCACTATTTACTACTTTTTTTTACAGAAGAAATTGTTCTTAGGCTAAAAAAAAATAAAACTATTGAAAACAACAGCTCTTAATACTGAAGACAAAAACAAATGTGGGGGCTCAATTCGATAAAAAAATAATTACGTGCATTTGCTATTTCGATTGTGTTATTTCTTACGTTTTGCACGGTGTTGTTTTAACTACAATTATTTTCCATATGATGAACATGGTAGAAACGCAGAGAAGGCACGTGGAAGAATAAGGACGGTTGGATGAAAGAAGCTCACAGGATCCAATGAGAACGCGTAAGACTAGAAGGGAGCACGTGCATGTCGGCTCGTTAATCAGTAAGTACAACTACGCGTAAGCAAGTGTGCCTTTTTCATAATGTTCGGATCTCTCTGCTCTCTCCTCTTCAATGTTTCTAAATAAACTCTCAATTACAGCTTTCTTTCCCTTTTGACTTTAACTGATATGTATTGTAAGTTTGTAATATTATTGGTCAGTATTCTGTTGTGAAGCATAAGACCGGACTATTAAAATAAGCACCATTTTATAAGACGGAGCATAAATCTGTATTGATGAGAGATTTTATATCTATATTCCATAGCATCATTTAAAAGAGGATTCATTGAATAGCAAAGAAAAAGTACTATTGGGCTGAGTATGTAAAGAAATTAAAGGCAGATGAGCAATAATAAATAAGAACCTCGAGAACTGTGCAATGTGATTGATCTACAATGATTATACCCTGAACCTTCACCCACTTTCTTCAACTTCTTGTTGTTTAGCTTATTTACTACATCCATGTTCAATTCCTGATTTCATTCAACTAATTTCAACAATCCTTTTCACCAAAACTTGCACAAACCAAAATCAAAACAAAAATCTCGAAAGAACTACGAGTATGACAAACACAATGAACACATTTCAAGTTACCATAACCAGCAAGTATATGTTTTCTTTTGCATAAGATATTTGTTTTTTAAAAAACGTAGTATTATCTAAACCAGAGAACGAGTTTGTTTTGTGATAGAAAAACATTTTAATTCATAATTATATTGAAAATGGAGAAGAACGAACGACCTAATTACTTTTGAGATTCATAAACTCCTATGCGATATATTATTCAAGAAACGTATCATAAGGATAAATGAAAAGTTTACCAAGTCAGGGAGAGTCTGAATGGGATCAGAGAGAGATACGACGCCGGATCCGGAGGTAACCAAACTTGCCAGCTCCAGGTGACGAACCTTCGAATATGAGTGGCAAATAGCCAGTCGCAGCTTTGTATCTCTGCTGAATCTGGAAACATTCACCATCAATTACAGCTTCTTTATACATCCACTGACCACATCATATTCGAAGAAATTTTGAACCTAGAGAGTATACTACTACTACTGTATATGTACCTCGAGAATTTGTTGGCTGCTGCGCAATGAGTTACGGCCTATGACGCAGACTGTTCCACCGGAGCCACCGCCGGTGATTTTGGCTCCATATAGAGTTCCGTCATCGGTTTTAGACTTGTTATGCTGCATCCCTTGTACTAACTGGACCAGCCTGTTGGTTCCGTCTGATCCTAGTCCGCACGCGCTGTAGCTATAGTGACACTGAACAAACAAGGACAGCCAAAATCAGCATCCACATGTTAAAGCCATGATCAAGAAACTCAACATGTAACTTGGCAAGAACTCTCGGTCTCGATTTCTTTTTTTGTATTCAGAGCATAGACAAGATCCGGTAGTTTGAAGTGATTACCTGATAAAGAAGTCCCCCAAGAGCAGTAAGCTGCTCATCTGACGTTGCAGACGTCAAAAGGGCTTTAAAAGTCTACACAAGGAGCACCATATATATTATTCACCAACCAAAAAAGTATTAAGAAACCGAAGATGGGAAAGCTTTTATGTATTGTTACACGTAGACTGTTATCAGAAGACGGACCTTGACCCGGAAGTTTTCGTATATAGGGTGTCTTGCAGGAGCTTTGACACTATAAGAACGCTTTTCATCAATCACTGTAACCGGATCATCATGATCCGAGTATTCCTCGATGAATGTCTGACCCAGCATGAAATCTGGAAGCTTATCTGCATAACGAGCTTCATATCTGCAACATAACCAGAGATTAGCTAATCATATGCTGGCGTGTGAATTACGAGATGCTTTTAGTTGGAAAATGTTTTACAAGATGAGAACGTGGATGGTTTCAACCACTTGTGTTCCAACCTGTGAGGCGACAAATTGCACAAGTAATCTAATGAAGCTTCGGTCTCAAGTAGCTCAATCCCTTCATCCTCTAGTTCTTCCGAGTTGCCTCCGTTAGCACTTAACGTTGATTGTGAAAGAATAGAAGACGCCACTGACTTTATCATTTTTCGCCCCATGTAGGCACCGACTCTGACAGACCCATAGTCTGCACCTCCAACGCTGCGAAATAAAGCCAATAATTTAACAGAAATTATAAAATCTCAAGTGAATCTGCAATCTTTTTGAGTAAAACTGTCAAAGGAGGAAAGTTAAGTTGTTATGTCTGGTGGAGTTTAAAAGTATCAAGTGCGTAAAGCATTATAGGCATAACAATAGAGAGGAAAGCAGAAATGATACTGATAAAGAAAAATCATTCACCTGTGTCGAATTCCGGAATCAATTCCCCAAAATCTGACATGGTTGGGAATCTCAACAAGCCCGACCACTTCTGCAGGCTACATGTTTTTTATGTGAAAAGTTAAAAACGAAAGGAGTAAATCAAATCTTGTTATCTCTAGAAAGAAAATAGATATCATAAGTGCTACAGAAAAAAATGGTGATCTTTTACTTCTAGCTTAGGCGTTACTAAGACCTACTTGGCAGATCATGGCCAACAGTTTGTTGGCTTCCCCACAGGACGAAGTCATCTGATCCATAACACCACATGGAGCTCCAACAATGTGATTCTCCACCTACCAGGTAACAGAAGAAAATTAGAAAATCAAAACATGCACAAAGTTTGGAAAGGAGCTAGTAGTATGATGCTGAACATGGAACCTTTTGGCAGAGTATAGCAAGATCTCGGGGGTCGATACTCAGTCCTGCACATTTATATCAAACATTGTTGGAATAGACAAAACTAAAATGCGCAGACAAAAATTCCATGTATTGTATATTCAGCTATCTCAAATGACTTTGTTTTTTTCACCAACGTTCGTGATCATATGAATCTCATTACCATGGGCAGCAGCTATTGCGGACATGCTTGCTACCTCCACAGCAGCAGATGAAGATACACCTTTACCTTCAGGCACAGCAGAAGAAACCTAAGGAAACATATAATCAGTCAGCCCCAATATTCATCTTATATGCATAACACAGAGAATAAAATGATGGACACAGCTCTGAGTTTTTTAAGACACTGAAATGGGACTAGTGACAGATAGATCACAGTTTGCCAAAATTATCACTGAGAGACAATCACAATGTGGCCCTCTAAGGGGATTGGCAAGTCTGCGACTGCTAATTTCCTACCCTACAATTATTCCTAAATCTTGAAACATTCCTTCACCCTTTTGCTAACTTTACTCCTAGACCATGCTAAACAAAAGTATGTGCATCAGAACAAATAACAGTGTCAAAACATTTACCAACACATACTACATGCAAAAACTGAAAATGACAAAGAACCAAAGATGAATCAAGGAGGATTCTGCAACAGAAAATATTAAATCCAACAAAAGGATGAAAAAAACCTCACCAGCAAGCTCATGCTATCCTCAAAACGCACACCAAGTTCTGTCATCAATACCAAGATTGTCCCAGCAACATATGCTGCCCACCTGGAAGATATTGTTACCTTGTTAACAGAGGAAAACTAAAGAAGTAGTTAAAGAAAAAGGAGGAAAGACTCACTTTTGTGCTGGATCCTGAGCAAAGAACTTCCTTGCTTTTTCATAGGAAATTGGTTTATCTCCATCCATAAAATCAGACAAATCCATGTCAAAAGTGGGGGCACGATTGCTGATCTCTGATCCATATGAGACCTAAAACACAAAGATTCAAGGAAATATCGTGAGGACCACAAATCAAAGTCTTAAGCTAGGACAATCCACTTTATTGTAAAAACAAGCCCTTAATGTGCATGCTAAGGGCTTCATTCAAATACTCCTACTTACAATTTGCAGAACTGGTGTTGGTACTTGTCCCTTAGCTTGCTGTCGGGCTTGCGCATGTTTCCACAGTCTATGTTTTCCAGGATGGTTTCTTTGAACAGCTACATGGCAAGCTTCCCTTATTGGCATCTGAATTTGTGAGAATATAGATAAGAAAATTGTGGTCAGTTAAGATAAACGATACTCTGGCAAGGAGGAACTTATGGGATTTTTACAATTACTACATAATAAGACAGACTGATGTTTTGTGTGAAAGGGACTTAGATAAAAGGTTAATAAGTTATTCCCTTGACAGAAGATACCAAACGAAAAATAGGACATCAGACACAAGTGACCGCATAATCAATACTAGAGAATTTTAACCTGCAGGACAAGGCTTCCTGAATAGTCAGCAATTCCACCCATCACATCTAACCTTCCAGGTGCTCTGGCAACAAAGATTTCTTCCTGCAAATGCACAAAGATTTCTCAACAAACAACAACGCAACTTGGGGTTATAAGAAGCTAATTTAACTTGATAGCAATTGTTCCTCATGAAGATGCATGCATCAGTTAAAAGAAATGATTCCACCATCTAACTGCGCATTCCCAAAACACTTGTAATAAGATTACTCCTTTGGAAAAATTGCAAGTTATTATTTACAAGGCATTAGGCATTAACTCAGGCCATTAATTGAATTCAGAGCATTCTGTTTCCTCTTAGTAGAATGCTATCTGGAGCTACAAAAGGTCGGAAACAAAAATAGTACCTCCCAATTGAAGAGGCCACCAGCAGCTTTTCGCTCACGCATGGTTTTCTTCTCCATACTATTTTCAGAATCATGAATAGCATCTAGCTTGGCTAAACTCTTAAGAAATGTCCATGTATCTGAAAGACCTTGAACGTCACCTTGAAGGATGTCAAAATCATCGGTGCACCTGCAAGATACGTGAATGGATAAGTACAAAGAAAAACAGAAAATAGCCAGACAATAACAATACTTACGACTCCAACAATGAGTTGTTCTCGTTCGCTTGAACTGTAGGTGATGATCCAGCAGATTGACCTAGTTCATTTTCAGCCCTTGAATACCACTCCGGAATAGCAATGTCCCTTCCAGGGACCCTCTGTAACTGATATCCTAGGATTATGGCATCACGTAATCTTCTTGCACCACTCAACTGTAACACACAGAAGAGCCAACTGAAAAACTTCAGCATAGTTTTCTTTATAGAAGCACGCACAAGATACTTTTGAATTTTGATGACACAATTTTCCGGAAACTTAATATATCTCAATGATTCGCATTAAACAATATGATTTCAATATTTAGATATGAAATTTACCTTGTCGGATGCGCAATGTCTTCCAATGGCTGTCTCCTGTAAGATGTGAGCTGCAATCTATCATTGCAGCAGTGTGACAAAAAGAGAAGTTAGTTTACAGGTCGTGTGAATTTCAGGCAAGGGCTTAACACATTCTCAGAATGTTACAACGTAAGAGATAAATGAAAACAAGATGGAGCATCTACCTCACCACCATTGATGCCACCCTCGTAGCAAGGTTTCAAGCTAACTGCACGTTCAAGATATGGCTTCCATTGGCCCATCAATAGGTCTCTCCTGATCATCTCAACACCACACTGATAAAACTGCCCAAGAAATGTGACCAGGACATGTAAACATGCGATATCATTTTTAAAGTGAAAAAAACAGAGGTCACTGAGAAAAGAAAATCAAAATCAAGAAAATGAATTGGTCAAACCTCGAGCATATTTCTCAGAAAAGGTTCTTCGTTGAAATAATCTCTGCGTACAAAGACAAACGGCACCTTGTACGACAGGGCTTCACTGACAGTGCCATAACCAATTTTCCCTGAAATCATGGAAACAGGTATTATAGAAACGCAAGAAGCCATATAATTTAATTGACTATTCTTATGCTTAATCAGGTTACATAGTACTGACCAAGCATACAGTCAGATGCAGCTATAATATCAGGTGTATAAGCATCCTTAGCAAGCTTTACAAAATTTGGTGGAAGCTCCTGGGTTTCAGATGCGCCACAAACCTGAACAACATATTGATAAGTTTAACTAACAGCATAGAATCCTCAAGTTGAGAGTAGCTATATATTAGCAGGCGCAGGTTCTGTGTTAAGAGATACCAGACACAGCCAGCCAGAAGGTAGTGATTCTTCTTTCAAATTCCACCCTGAGGGCTGCACATGAGAAGAAGACAACATAGCTGCAAATGAGAATTAGATCTTTTGAGCAGTCCAAAATAAAGACTACGCAGATATGGCCAATGAGCATGTCTATAAGATAGCAACAACGTAATTATGCATTAAATATATAATCAGAGCATTAGTTTGAAAAAGAAAAAATTCATAAAACCAATAAATGGAAGAACAGGCAGCCAGACCTGTCCACCAAAATTGAGTATAACGACATTCACATCTTCAGCAATCCCGAGTTCTTTCCTCACCTGACCAAAAGGGATACTAGATGTTAACTGGATTTTTTGTCCGACGGAAGATGAGATCAATGAAAAGTTATTGACAGACCTCCTTGCGAGATTTATGAAGTCTCCTCACTACTAATGGTACGTCGACGACATCACGAAAGGCAGGCACTACGAGAATACAAGGAAATAAACGTAACGCAGTAAAGCAGATTACTCTTGGAAGAACTAAAGATTTTTTTTTAAAGAAAAAGAGAAGCAAATGGTAATTAGAAAGGCTGCATACTTGGACAATATCCTGGGAGTCGAATTAGGAACTCGCAATGAGAATAATCTTCAGCTATCTATATGTCAAAGAAGAAAAGTATTAACCCCAACTAAGTAAATTCAGTATCAACTGCAGTTTACGTGCCAATCTTACTGAGCCAATAAAAGATGGTATTCGCAGGTTCTACAAAAAAATTCTACCTGCCAAACGATGGAGCGATGGTGATATCCAGCAGCCATCACGTACTCGGCATAGATAAAATCCCAACTAAAAGTAATATAAAGAAACAAATTCAAATCAAATTAAACAATTTCACTATAAACCAGGGGAGGTGAAAACTGGAAATTAAGAATAGTGGAGACCGAATCACAGTACAGTCCGTGAACGTGGACTACAACCAGAAGAAGACTTCAGGCCAAACAAGACACACAAAAATGTAGTAGAACATCAAATATGTCACCTGAAATTGGTGACACATACAGATCGTATCCCAGCATCAGCCGCTGCACGGCACGCGACAGGGACAACATCAGACACCTGTTTTTACCAAATGTGAAGATTTTTCTTGGTAGGAAATGATGGAGTTCAAAGCAAAAGTCCACAGAAGATCGATGAAAGTGCTTAGAAGAATACAAAAATTACCACGAAATCGGCTTTGATAGAATGAAGCCACTCCACTTCTGTGTTCAAAATTGCAGCTCGAGGAACCACAGCTGTTTCGACATACTATGTTTCGAGATACACCAGCATCAAAATGTTAACAAAGTCAAAATAATCATTCAAAGGGAAGAGCAACATGGACGACAAGACTCATATAATTGATCAAATCAGTAAACCTTTTCTAACGAGGCAAGACGATCGACTGTCAAGGCATCAGCTTGCACAGCCCCACAATCCAAAAGAACCTAAAAACGGCATGTAAACAACATCATAAGAACCACTTATTTCGAGTAGCCATTGAAAGACTAGGAAAGTAAATCATCGCCAGAAGAAGAAGAAGTCACGGATTTTGGAAACCTTTCGAATCTTTAGCCTCGGTGACTGAATTTCGGATGTGAAGACGAAATCAGGCGCACCGGTGACGACATGAACATCGTGCCCCGCCGCGATCAAGTGACGAACAACCTGAAATGCCGCAAATTAGCTGAAATTACCACGATCAAACGAGCGATGGAAGAGAAACCGAAACGCAGGAGCCGCAAAATGAAACCGATTCGGAGAGAGAGAAAGTGAGAGGGAAAAACGAACCTCGACGACACGAGTGGCGTGACCGAAGCCATGTCCAGTGACGTAGTAAGCAAAGACTAAGTGCTTGCTGGAAGCGGAGACTCCTTCGTTCTCGTCAATCCTCATTTTCTTCGACGGGAAATAGTATCTCCGGCGATCTCTGAGGGGAGAATTTGATAATTGACTGATTCGAAGGAAGGTAGAAGAAAGATTGGGCCTAAATCTCCAGCTTTAATGGGGGTTTTTGCAATTCTGTCCTTTCTTTCACTGGTAAGATAAATCTGAACTAACCGAAACTAATTTTCAGATTTTAAAAGTTTATTTTTCCTCAAAAAATGATCAAATTTAATTTTTTGGTGGTAGAAGGTTACGTAAGGCTCTCGCAATTCGAGAAATGGATAAAATCATTAAACGAATGTTGCGTCTTTGTTTCGATACATGCATAGATTGATATAAAATCCAATATATCGACTAAAAAAAACTGCACTGTTACAAAAGTTGGATTACAAAACATGATAAGAAGAAAAGGAAAGAAAAATAGTCTAAAGATATATATAGGATTTGCCGATTTGGACGTATAACTACAACTGATCTTATCCGCAAATATCCAAATAAAAACATATGATGTGATCATCGTTCTTATAATTTACATTACAATTCAGAGTTAATTCTCAACAAAAACATTTTTCATCCATGTAATAGAAGATATTCTTATAATTTACAATACAATTCAGAGTTAATTCTCAACTAAAACATTTTTCATCCATGTAATAGAAGATATTGTTTAGTGTTTCGAGGTACAAAAACTGCATTTTCTGTCTCAACAATTTTCAAAAAATTACTATTTGGAGCGGCAAGTTTATGTGACTCTAGTAGAATAAATATAGCAACAGCCAAGAGGTTACCATTTACCAAGTTGTGCGACTTGCGGTTGAAGATAAGATCATCATTTAATTTTTAATATCTTTACCTTTTTCTGACGAGGCAGATGATTTATGTGACAACAATAAAAAGCAAATCACTTGTAGAGTTATTGAGTCAACGTAGTACTGTATATAAAAATGAAGAGATATAATAAAACTGTATCACTATATATATATATTAATATAATGAAGAGATATATAGATAATATGTAAGATTATAATATTATATAGATATTTAGTGTTTTATATATAAGAGAAGAAGAGAAAGCACTTAACTTAAAAGAATAGTTTACATATATAGACACTTATTGGATTTTTGTTTACGATTTGGAGATTTTTTGTATTTGGCACACTTTGTTTTATATTTTGTACCCTAAAATTTTAATTCTGCCTTTTTTGTTTACCTATATTTACATCTTTTTTTTACAGTTGTGGTGTATTATTTTATTTGTACTTGATAAATTAGACGTGATAATTAATTCTGGACGGTAATGATGTTATTTAGTCGGAGAAAATTCTCATATAATTTGTGTAACCAAATGCAACGGCGGAATATGAGCATGGTAGTAATGATTGTAAATCTGAAATCGAAGGCAAAGAAGGGTTTGATCTTCTATCTCTTTCATATAATGACAAAGATTTTACCACCTTGTTGGATCTTCGATGAACTCGTTGCAGAGCTTCAATGGTCTCTATGAAATCATTAACCATTGCATAATGTCCATGTGGAAAAATGTTTTGAATGAACTTGGTATGAAAGAATTCTCTGTCCATGAAACACAGACCATTTTCGATAGTCCATGTAGATTGTCAATAAGCTTTGGCAAATAAAAATATGTAATGTTGTTAGATTCGGTGCTTGTTCAATGCGCCTTAAGACTATAACCGCTAATGGCTGTATTCCTCAAAGTGTATATGGACAAAAAGAAAAATTAAAGTCGGTGGATAAGTCATGCTGGATAGATGAAATTTTGTTGGTTTTTGCATAGACGGATGATCTATCATAAACAATTTCGAGCTTGGTTTTTGTAGAGGTGGAGACAGTGTCTCTAAGAAGCGTTCATAACAGACGTTCTATCATGAATGCTTTGTTGTCTATACTTCGTTGTTCACGGTTCCTTGTTCACGCTTCATTGCCATGGTTCATTATCTACGATTCCTGGTCCATGCTTCATTGCCACAGTTCATTATCTATGGTTCTTTGTCCACGCCTTTTTGTCCATGTTTCATTGTCCATATTTCCTTGATCATGTCATTTCTCATTAATCGTGTTCAGTTTTAGTTTTTTTTATTGAAGGTTTTACATGTTTCTGACTAAGGATGAATATGATCAGTCTAATTCGAACAGTGATGTAAAACGAGCTCAAAAATTGTACTTAGCCGACAACCTCTTTTATTGAAAGGTATAATATCAAAATTATTTTCAAAATTCAACTTTCAAATAGGATTGAGATACAGAACATAAAGCATAGTGTTTTTTCTTGCAATATGTGTGTTTGCTTATTCATATAATATTGATCTAAATGAGAGTTTGTTCATACCAACGTCATTGTGTCTACGATTTCATATCCGCCAAAAAATTATCCACCAAAAAGTAAAGTAAAAAACAAGGCCATCCTTTCACCATTTTACATTTTCTATTACATTGGAAACACGACAATAAAAACAATCTACTTTATCCATCACAAGCACCAACTCCACCGTCGCCGCAACCTCCGATCTTCTTTTTTGGAATCCCATAATTTTTGATATTTTGTCCACCGTTCTTTATTCATAGTTTCTTGTCCACGGTTCCTTGTCCATAGTGCATTGACCATGCTCCCTTGTCTGTACTCCATTGTCCACGGTTCCTTGTTCACGTAGTTCCTTATCCACGTTCATGTGCTGATGGTGTCTGCAATGTACCTAAAACACAAACTGCTTTTCTAATTAAATCGGCGCGAATCTCAATGCTACCAATTGAGAACGGTGGTTTGCGTTTTCAGTTGCAGTCTAAACGAGAAAATAACAGATGGAAAACAGAAAATCTAGTCAAGAGTCAACGAAACTGGAATCCAATCAACATCGGAGATGATAATAACAATGATCTTTGTGAGCGGTGACAAGAATTTAGGTTTGTGTCAGCAAGGGTGGTTTTTTATGTGTGATGGGGTGTAAAGTTTCTTTTTTTTTTCAAATTGATCGTAAAAATATGAGAGTATAAAATTGTTGCCAATAAAGTTAAAGAGTGAAAAGGGTATAAGAGTTTTTATATCATAAGCTGTATGTGTGCTTCTTTGTAAAAGAACTCCAAAATAGTGTCCGTGGGTGTAAAATTCTCAAGTTAAAATAAGAGAAAGAAAAAAATATTTTTCTAAAGTAGTAAAGTGATGTCTCATACACACTTAAGAAGACGATGACATATATGGAAAAGTGATTAGGATATCATTTTAAGAAATGAAGACATATGGATTGATGAATAATCACCCTTATTCATAACAATTAAGGTATACTATGTATTGTTTTGTTAAAATATTTATTATAATAAAACTTAGTGAAGTAAAAATTATAACAAGGAAAAAAAAATTATAGTAATATAATATTTCTTTAAAAATGATAGACAAAATCTTTTCTTTATAAATCTTTCAAATACATAATTTTTGAATATTGTGGTAAGGAGCACATTTATAAATAGATCGGCTACAATATCACATAAACAAACATATTAAATATCTATTTCTTGATTCTTTTCGAATTTTTTTTTGTATAAGAAAAAAAACTTGAAAGCATATACTTTATTCAATCACTTTTGATATATATTTTTTTTTAGTTGTGCAACATATACATCATTATCTATAAACATTTTTGTTGGTTCTTTCTTTGTGTCTATTCTGCTTGTCTCTTATACATGAATTATAGATCCGATCCATAAGCATTCCCTATAAGCTTTATGTAATGCAATCTTTTTAGCATAGTTTGAAGAAGTGGCAATCAAATTCTGCTTTGGGGAACACCAAGAGATCGCTGTTTCACCATTTGTAAAAATATATCCGGTTTGCGATCAAACTTTATGCGGGTCTGATAGATATCATGCATCTGAAAAACCAACCAGACCAAACTCGGGATTTATAGAATAAAATAAGCCAAAGTCAATTGTACTTTGTAATAATGGAATATGTGTTTTATTTCATTCCAATATCAGCGAGTAGGAGATGAGCTGTATCTTGCAAGTAAATTAGTAGCGAAAGCTATATCCGATCTAGTATAATTTGCAAGATACATAAGCCCACCGATAACACTCATATGAGATACTTTATGACCTAATACTTCGTTTATTCAGGGAGAATAGTTCTGTTATGGACATTGAGTTTGAAACAAACATATTAAATATCCACTTCTCTCAATCATGTCTTTTCTGACATTCTGTTATGGACATTGAGTTTGAATCATCGCTTTCAAGCTCTTTAGATACAGAAAAGAGAATATTTTATCAATATCTTTGATTTTATCTCTGATCTATAATTCTCCATTTTTGGCGTAATTGATGGAAATCTTATATTTTTCTGTTTCATCATTCGTCTCCAAGATGAATCTTTTTATCTGGTTATTCTAGAACCTTTTCACAAATGTCTTCAGGACAATTTTCTTTAAATGGTTATTCTAGAACCTTTTTATTATGTTCTTCTATATTTATTTTCTTTCAGGGAATTTTATCTTTAGAACCATCAGTCTCTCCCTTTTCACTGAACCCTAGGTTCATTTGATATCTTCCCATCAATGTGTTCTTCAGGAACACTAATTTTGGATGGAACATTTGCTGCGGGGATATACGATTTTGTCACCCTTTTTTGTATCTGTGAACGTATCTGGTAACTGGTTTTCCATATTTTTCATATGTACAATTTTATGAATTTTCATCTCACGTTGATTGGTTGGAGGATCAAGATCAGCTAAAGATTTTGTACATTATGTGATATCTTTTGGTGATTCTCTCAATACTCCCCCTATATGGGGGAATTTATCTTCACTAAAATGGCAATCAGTCAAATGTGCTGTAAACATATCATCAGTTACTGGTTCAAGATACCTAATTATACCCGATGATGTATAACCAATATATATTCCCAATATTCTTCGTGGCCCTATTTCTGTCCTATGCGGTGGGGCTATTGGAACCGCACATCCAAAAACACGAAGATGGAATATATTTGGCTCATGTCCAGATGCCAATTGTAATGCAGAATACTCATTATATGCACTTGGCCGTATCTGGACCAGGGCCGCAACATGCAAAATAACATGTCTCTATACATTAATTGGAAGTTTTCCTCTTAATATTAACGGTCTTTCAATCCATAGAAACCGTTTAATTAATGATTCAACCATACCATGTTGTGTACGGAAACATCGATTCTCAAAGACATACAATAATCATTAAATACTTGTGAAGTGACTTCACCAGCGTTATCCAGCCTTACTTTCTTTATAGCATAATAAATGAATTGCGATCTCCACCTGATTATTTGGGTAATGAATTTAGCGAAAGCCATATTTTGCGTGATCAATAGACACATATGTGACCATCTACTAGATATGTTA